TGTGCTGCATATCCTGCTTCTCTCGAACACCTGGTGTTTATGTTCCTGGATATCACCTGGATATCAGTCCAGGACGTGTGTCTTCGTCGATGTTTCCTGTGAGATGGGAATCCGCGTATATACAGGGTGGTTGGTAACTGGTGATACAAGCGGAAAGGGGGTGAAGTCGAAAATATAGAATAAAAAATTTTTTTTAAATTTCTTTTTCTTTTTTAAATTTTTCCATCGAGACAACGATCTACAGTGAGATCCGTTATAACGAGACGCGATAAAGTGCAGGCGTACCCAGCGAAAATTCAAAGTCGATTTTCTCGAAAGCAAAGCCTCAAACGAGAAATTGTTATTGTATATTTTCGAGTTCTTTTTTCGCGTAGAATCACCCCCTTTCCGCTTGTACCACCAGTTACCAACCACCCTGTATACTTAAGTAATAAAAAGGAATTAGCAGGATTTGTGTTATCCTTTTAGTTGCACATAATAGATTTACCTACGTATTGTAATATAAATAGGTATGTTTTTGAAAATAACAGTGAAAAGTCATATTTTGACACTGATAAATCGCAGCTATTTTAACGTAGGTATTGTCGTTCTTTGTGTTTCTCGAGGAATGGGAAGTGTAAGAAAAAGATATCTAATAGTGTAACATTCCAGAAATTCTAGCTTTAAGAAACCAAAAGCGGATCCGATAACAGTTCGTCACGAATTTGAGTTACACGCAGTAACAAATAGACCGTCGTATTTGTGATATTTATTTATTTATTCTATGAAATGTAAAGCTGTGAAGATAAGTGGAAAGGAAACAACCTATCAGATTCAAAAATAGTAGATCCTTTAATACAAGCGTCTCTTTAATCTACTCAAGTGCGTTTAAAACTGCGAACTCTAAGAACGATAAACGTGCGTTTTATGCTAAGAGCAGGAGCACTGAATACATTTAAAAACGAAAGGGAAGGAAATTGAACGTATTATGGTGCAACTGCCAGGCAGTTTAGCATGAAATACCGTTGCACTTTTACTCGGCATACAAAGTAGCTGCCAACAGTCTCTTTCTAAATTGTATTTCCGTTATAAGTGTCACAGTGCGCTATAAACGATGCGTTAATCAAATTCTCGGTATAAAATATTTGTTAACGTTTATCTTGTAGAGTCTTTGTTTCACTTAGATTCTATTTTCAACAACTCTCAACTATATGAGAAAACCACGCTATAACTGTACACTTTTCTCTATTATTTATTTTATGTATGCATATTATTATTATTATATATTATATATTATTATTTCTTGTATTTGTATCGAAAAAGTGGTTGGGATGATGAAAGAATAACAGAAGTTATGCCACAAAATGCATATGTGTACACGTGCACGGCTATGTGAGGGAGAAAGTATAGTTCTTTAGGTAACATAGTGATTGAAGGTAGTGGAAAAAATTTTTGGTATTATGTTTCACTAATATGCAGTATCAAATATGGATAAATATGATATGTATGAATATATATTGATCCTGTTTATAATCACATTGATCATGTTTGTAATTTGTTACAATGTGCATAATTTATTCCTTCATCTTTAGTAATAATATTTTCATTAATTTCCAAATTTGAATTTAAGCGAATAGATGTATTTTCGCGTTCTTTATTTTCACACGTATTCGCTGAATTTTAACAAAATAAATAGTTTCATTTTATTTTTACTTATTTGTTTAAATTACATCAACCCACTTGGCTCATTAGCGACCACGTAGCTTACGTGACATTAAAAACAAAAGGTTACAGGTTGGGTCGTATCAATAACGAAGAAGTAAATATTCTCGTATTATTAATATAATTAATTTAAATTGAAAAGCATCGATACGTTTCAAAAACTATGTGGCGGATCGGTATCAACAGGACACCGACAGCAACATACATATGAACGTACACAACGTACATATGAAAAATGTTTATCAGACAGCTTGGAAAAAGTTAAATAAATAAACATTATATAAGCATTTATTTTATAAAGCATAAGATGGATGATACGATTTATAGAAAGTTACTGCATTGTTAAACAGTTAACGGTATCAGTAATCGTGATTTGTTAGAGATTTCTATCGTTGATTAATACAAAGAACTGCACTTCTGAGTAATCGATTGCAATTATTGCGTTATTAAAAAATACGAAGAAATCAATCTAGCCAGTGAAAGCTGATATTTATTGACACTAATTATCAGTGAAAAATACTTTTCAATCACAAATTATCGTTATATGATTATGACCGCGCATGATATTTCTCTGGATGATAAGTTATCGATTGAAATTATAACCAAGAGCATTATCTTCTTCCAATTTATTGTACAGAGATCTTAGTTCATACAATAGGAATTTTTCATTTTGCATTTATCGCAGAGAGAACAGTCCATTAAGTTGTGTTATCTCTATTGTGTTATTGTTTACTATGGATATTATTATTTTCTTAGAAACAATTCTGTTCTCTATTTAAATTTGTAAAGTAGCTGAAGTCTATTATTACAAATTTGTTTCTTAAAAGTGAACATTTATTTTTCAAAATAGCAATGTTAAATATACAATATTTTGTATTAATTATTTTCGTAAAAATGCCTTAATTTAAAGACATAAGAAAATTTTTGTATTATATTTCTACAAAAAGGCTACATGCAGTATGTTGCTCCTATATCAAACTAAAAATTTGTTTAGATTAAAAATAGCTTGTGTTAAGTAAATATGCGACTGTTTATTATATTTTTTAGTATAAAATACTATTTGTAAAGAAGAATCGTAAAAGAGTTTTGTACATAGTCACATACAGATATCAGCTTAAAATTGAAAGCACCTTTCCAACCCTTAAGAAACTCACCCCTGCAATATCTTGCAGTCTAAAATGCCAGCCCCTGTGCACCATTTAACAACTGAAAAATTCCAGTTAATATCTGCGACGCCTTCTAAGAAAACTGCTTGTGACGCTTTATCTGTCCCACCCTATATAATCTCGAGTCCTTCGAAATAATAAAATGTGGATGACTGTACTCTAGGAAAAAATATTAAACAAACTCGAATTCAGGTTAGTGTCCGTAAACGAGCTAACGAGCTGAACGAGTTAGCGTCTGAAAAACAAAACAAATAACAGATAGATAACAGATGTAGATTTTTAAGAAGCTCAGCTTAACGCGATGTTTCTTCTGGCGTACATTTAATATTAATAATTTTTCATCCCACAAGGAAGATTGAAAAAACGGTGGAGTCTTCAGCATCTGAATCTGTACAAGAATATGATCGAAGATAGCCATTTCGTACTTTAGAACTTGGAAGGAATATCATTGAAGTGATGGCAGTGAAGGACAAATGTAAATGACTGGAAAAATTGAATGCTACGAAACTGGAATGTATAACCTGATTAAGAGAAAACATCCGCTTGGAAAATAAGAATACGTATAAAGTATTCCTTGGAGCCACAGTGTGGAATAATGAGAAAGAAGGAAGAAGGAGCGGTTAAAGTGACCGTGTTCAGGGTTTCAATGTTTTAACATAGGAGCACTGTATATAGGGTGTCTTGGAATACAAACAGGGTGTCACTCTACGTGTATACAAAAATAAGTCGAATAAATTGATGAATAATCGAAATGAGAAAGAAGGAAATAGGGGCGTTTAAAGCGACCATATTTATTTCAATGTTTTAACATAGGAACACTGTATATAGGGTGTCTTGGAATACAAACAGGGTGTCACTCTACGTGTATACAAAAATAAGTCGAATAAATTAATGAATAATCGAAATGAGAAAGAAGGAAGTAGGAGCGGTTGAAGTGACCATATTTATTTCAATGTTTTAACATAGGAACACTGTATATAGGGTGTCTTGGAATACAAACAGGGTGTCACTCTACGTGTATACAAAAATAAGTCGAATAAATTAATGAACAATTGAAATGAGAAAGAAGGAAGAAGGAGCGGTCGAAGTGACCATATTTATTTCAATGTTTTAACATAGGAGCACTGTATATAGGGTGTCTTGGAATACAAACAGGGTGTCACTCTACGTGTATACAAAAATAAGTCGAATAAATTTCTTCCTTTGACATTTCGTTTCTGAGAAAGTCGAGCTCGAGGTAGCTATCACCGGTATTTTGCTTATTCTGCTAATTGCACGAGCTCGATTTTCTCAAAACTCAGGCCTGAATCGACAGAAATGTTCTTTTTATGTAGCATACGTGCGTATATAAATAACTTCTTGTCTGAGCATGTCAACTATCTTAAGACACCCCGTATCGTGTTCACGGTAAAGTGCCTCGTGCGCCTCTTTTCTTCTTCAGTTGCACCTTACGCGTCTATATTGTCAAGGAAACTCTGCGATACGTAATAAGGCGACTAAAGTCTGAGTACTCGATGAGACTCAGGTATTATAAATGTCAGAGCAATGCAACGATAGGTACAAATACGTGTGAACAATAGGGCTGCCAGAATACCTAAGCAAATAAGGAAAAGGTCAAAAGATAATAGCACGAGCATAGTGTGGAGAGTTGGAAAATTGGAATAGGTACTGGGAGGGGAAAGTGGAGGAGGAGGAGGAGGTGGTGGAAGGTGTGATCTATGCGGCGAGATAAATTCGAGGATCTAATTCACTTAACAGGCAATTATAGGGAAACCAAAAGAGCTGTCAGGTCGGAAGACGTAGTGGGTAAAAGACAGGATAGAAGGATCGTGGAATGAGTGGAGAAGCTGGAAAAGAAAAGAAAAGAATAGAAGAAGGCAAGGTGCAAGCAGGCTAAAGAGAGTTTTAGTGAAAACAGTGGAATAATTGCAGACCTTGGTACGAAAACCGGGCAAACGCAGATTTTACAAGTTGTGTGGAATCGAATAAAACTGAATTAATTATGACTCGTTTAAACGATTAATATTTTGGACTTAGAAAGGCATTCGTGTGACGAACGATATGAGAAATGATGCCTCTTATATTTTTGAAGAATGCGATTAAGAAATCTTTTTCGATATTTCGATTTGCCTGGCTCTTGCACGAAAATACTGGGAATTTGAAATGAAATATTTTCTTCTTTCACGTCTTTATTTTTCCTTAATTCTCCTTCATGCTCCGCAAACAGTTCCTTAGATAAACCACTGACATCCGGCCGCCGTCTCTCGTTTGCACATATTTACTTCTCCATGACCGATACGATTCTTGTTCGTCCGAACACATTTCGAATCTGCAAGAAAAAAAAAAAAACACGCGATTAATAGAATTCGAAACACTTTGGTTGACGAGTCAACGCTACATCAACACAATCATTGACGCTATATTTTAGAACAAAAGCCCAGGTGGGTCCTAGACATAGCCGATTCTTCTTCCCAAAGGTCACAATGCATAGGTGCAAAAATTCTTATGAACGCATTGAGCTTGTCTGATCTTTGCACCGATCGATCGACGATGTATAAAAATATATGAAACTCGACAAGTACAATTTTTGTAACAGGTGTACTCGCCTTATTTTTGCACCAGGATCTTCAATTATTAGTCACAGTATGTCAGAGTGTGGACGGAAGAGATATAGAGATAGATAGAGAGGGATAGAGAGTGAGAGAGAGAGAGAATAAGACATTTTTGTAAATAAAGGTATCTGCATGTATGTAAATAATGGTATATATGTAAATATTAAAGGTAATGTAAGTATGTTCTTGGAAGTGAGGCTGAATAAACATACACGTATATGCATTGATAAATGTAAAAGCACGTGTCTACTTTTTTCGGTACATATTTTCTTGCTTTTGTAAAGACGTAGGACGAGACAGACGTCAAAACGAAAATGAAAACGATTCATGTATAAAGATACAGTTCGAAACTTATTTTCCAAGTTATTCGCGAACCGAAACGATGACGCGGGATTGAGATGCATGAAGAATGAATCGAGTACTATATATCTATTAACATTTTTATAAAATTGTTTACAACAGCAATTCGCAAACTGTGGTGCAGAACCTTTGGTGGAGGTAACTGTTGGAGATTTGCAAGTGATTTTTCAAACTAAAAATCTGTAGGCTTAGTTCTGTTTTGTTTTATGTTTATAAACCATACAAAATCAAGTCCAATCTTTATTATGTTTATTATGTTTATAAATCATATAAAAGAAGGCCAGCAGAGTGAAACGAATTAATGCAATACAAAGTAAAATTTGTTATTCAATCTAATTGTTATAAACGAGGGTACTTAACTAAAACTTACAAGTTTAGTTTTAGTTTTCAAACTAAAAATATGTAGGCTTAGTTCTAGCTTTGTTTTATGTTTATAAACCATACAAAATCAAGTCCAATCTTTATTGTGTTTATTATGTTTATAAATCATATAAAAGAAGGCCAGCAGAGTGAAACGAATTAATGCAATACAAAGTAAAATTTATTATTCAACTTGATTGTTACAAACGAGGGTACTTAACTAAAACTTACAAGTTTAGTTTTAGTTTTCAAACTAAAAATATGTAGGCTTGGTTCTAGTTTTGTTTTATGTTTATAAACCATGTAAAACCAAGTCCAATCTTTAAGCCAGCAGAGTTTTTTTTTAATATTTATTAAAATTACAATCGATTCTCGCGTTGAGAATTTTCAGTAGTTTTTCTGACGTGGCGCAGTAACATGGCTAATTATTTATAATAAGTTATTACTTATTATAGATAAGTATAAGGCCAGCATTGTGAAAACAATTGATACAATACGAACTAAAATTTGTTTTCAAATTGTGTTATTCTGATTGTTACAAACGTGGGTACTTAACTAAAACTTACAAGTTTAGTTCTGTCTTTAATTTTGTTCTATATTTGTAAATTGCGTAAAGAAGAAATCCAATTTCTGGGCCATCAGGCTCAAAGAAATTAATACAGTGCAAACTAAAATTTGTTGTTCAATTTCACCGTTACAAATGAGTGTATTTCAGGGAATACGATTCCCAGGGGATACGAATATTAATATGGGTCTTGAAACATCGATTACCAAAAGAGTCGATACGATTCGAGCGCCGAATCGAGTGGATTCGTTTAATTACGTTGTAAACGATTGTTGGCTTGAATGATAAAATTTGAATACTTACACTCGTATATGTATCGTAATTAAAAAATTGTTACAAGTGTGTATGCGTTGTGGATAAATCAGCATGTTGCGTATTATTGTTTTGTATTTAGGGTGGATTTTCACGTGCGCTAGCAATGCGAGAATTAAGACAGCTTCAAATTAATTACAAGATTTATAGACACAGGTCGAAAAGAATTTATGTCGACTAGCAAATTCTGTCGCGTTAACAACTGATCCGACAGGGAACTTCAGCTCGATCTCGTTATACTTTGAGCCTTACGATTTTGTGGAAACGCACGAGTCTGAAATTGGAAAATTGTTTGTTTAGTTAGATGTGGGAATATTTCTATGATACAGAAATTAGCTATTTTTTCGTTTATAAATAAAAGACTTGCATAGCCTTTGTATTTAGAAACGATACTTTTGCATGACGTAGTACGTTACTTTTGCTCTTTGTACATTTATTTAAAATACAGAGCACGAAAATTAAATCTATACGCCAGCCCTGAAATATTGTACAATTTTTGTGTTGTTCCAAACTATGAAACTCTGACGCGAAATTAATACTTAATATCACGTTTGAGTTTGGTTTTTCTCCCTTCAAATTGTATCGTTACTGTATCGAAATTTGCAACACGGACGAAAACAGGAAATTTTGAAAAGAACAAATTAATTGAACGTTATCTTAATATTATCGATGGAAATTGCTTGATTATCGATGGAAGATTAATTAATTTGTTACAAAGAAAATTTTTTAATTGAACATGCCGTTATTTACTGTGTATGATTTTGCACGTATTTTAGAATATATTTTGTCAAATATTTTTAATAAAGTTAGATATTTGATATTAACATGGGCAAATAGAAAATATAGAGATGTGACCTAAAAATAAGTCGCTTCCGTTTCTTTATCTTTTTTTACACACATTATGAAGTTGAATAATAATAATATGATAAATTCGATAAAATGTGATTCATGTTATTGTGCGCTGTGTAATATCTACTGCGGATAAGTAAAAAATGATTTCAACACTTAGCCAACCATTATTTAGTACGCGAGATGAGATGAAAATATTGTTTTTCTTGTCCAAGTAATTGTGTCATCAAAAGTTCTATGATTACTTCTACTTTGTATTTAAATGCACTTGCTGTTGGAACGACGGTTCATCTCTCAATTTCTGCATGGAATCATCCGACTAATTTATAACTATAATTTATAGTCACAATTTTTATTTGTAGACAAATTGCTTAGAGATATAACAGAAATTCTTTGACTTTTAAATATAAAAATGAAAAAGTGGTAAATATCATTTAAGTTGGAAAATATTTCTACATTTATTATGCTTGTTAACAAATAAATTATCGAAAGAGAAGTTGAAAATGTGATCTTTTCGCACAGTATAAAATTATAATATAATTTTTTCAGGGTAGATGCACATGTAATAACACTACAGAATTATTTAACTGCTTCAAAATATTTAGAATGGCGTTTACAAATAATCAAGAACGCTTAAAATTAATGATTATTCGAACGATACAGTATCGAATAGAATGTCTAACGTTTTATGATAAATATTTGTACTATACCAATTCTTGACTCTAGTACTGTTAAATTAAAAGTGACTAGAATAATTTGAGTTAATTTTCTTCATTGTTTAATCTGAATTTCAGTAGTTTACGTCAATAATAAAGATTGCTGATAAAAATACAGATACAATTATCATAGAATAAAAAAACGTAAAGCAGACTCGATCGAAACTGGTATATCAGTGAATGGATGAGATCTAAAAATACAGAAAAATAGAAAAAACATTTACTCCCATTGTTTTGAAGCATGTAAGTGAGTTCACTCGGCTATCTACTTACTCTTATACAGAATTCTAAAGAATTCAGTTCGTTTTTTTTACGAATTATCCGCTGTTCTTAGAATCGATAGCACAAACCAGTTGCTTTTATCGGAGAAATTATCTAATTTTATCTTCTTCAAACTCAATGCGATGTATTTTTGCAAGTGTACAAAATTTGTAAATATGGATTCGAAGAGAAGTAAAATGAATTCCCTTCATCTTCATACGCTGGCAACTACAATAATTGTCATATTATTTCTGTATCGTAATGTCTTATAATACAAAAATGAAGAAACTTAGCTGTCTTTTAAATCCAGTTTGTCTTCTGTTACTTCCACTTAGACGATGAAATAAATCATTTATAGTTGACTTATAATTGCTGTTTTATTGCAAAAAAACGTAGCGAGCGTAGTTGTTGCTATAATGGACAGAGAAATTTTGTATTCTTTTACATTCCAATCGCATATTTTCTTCTGGATTCTTATCAATCTTTTCTACTTTCTCTTACCCCTGTAATTTCAACCGATTATTATTCGATAATCATTCTACGCTATTATTAATCGAATGGTAGAAGACAATTCACACTCGTTATTACGCTCATTAACACTGTCTAGAGCTTTCATTAACATTTGTCTACGAATGTTAACGAGCGATCTTCACCAACACCAACAAAGCTTTTTTCTAGCCTTTTCTAGTCTATGTCATAAAGTTTTACGTAGATGATATATATAAATCATAGCGGACGTCCCGTAAAATGTTCCACCATTTACAGCAGCTACGAAAAGTATCGGCACATATTTATTTTCCAATGAAGCATTTTTTACCAAATTCTACGTCATGATATCCGCGATATTAAATTTTTGCAGTTGTGTAAGAAGGCTACTAAATGATATAAAATTTAATATCTCTCGCAGTCAAATAATTAATATGACGATAGAGCCAATAGTGTGCAAATACTTCTCGCAGCCATTGTAAGTCGATACCACACACGTGTTGTAAAGCACCGTACACAACCGTGCGGCTACGAACCAAGAAAAACGCAGAAACGTAATAGGACTGTCGGTTATCGATGAGTTTTCGAAGAATCACGCGTTAAAAATGATTCGATGACTGTTCCAATATCTCAATTCACTCGCGCTCCACATACATTTGCAGTGGGCACACGTACACAAATAACCGCGACCAGTTTGCAGCTAGACGTATGTACGTACGTATGCTCTCGGCGTTAGTGTGCGTCGCCTTAGCTGTCATTTGGCAGCGAACGACGAAGTGGTGGGAACGCAAATGGCGGAGACTCGAATCGGGATATAAAGCTCCCTCGAAGCATCACAAAGATTCTATTCGGAGACCGGCACTTGATCGACGTCGTTCACAGGAATCTGGTTCTTGCTCTAACCTTGGAAATTCCAAAGCACAGCCGCGAAACAGTCGTGATCGGTTAGTCGATATTTCTTCGACCTCCCGCCGTTTCGTTCGATCGTACGTCCGCCACGGTCGTGTTAGATCCCGCGAAATTGTCCCACACAAGCGACGGAGAGTGTTGATCTTGCGATCGAGATGCCCATTTGTACGTGCAAAGATCGCGCTCTGGACGAGAGCCACGTGTGTCAGATGAATCCTTCGGACGAGCATGAGAATGTCGAGTGGAATATCGAGTATGATCCCGCAGTTAGGTACGTTTGGTTCTTTTTTGTATTTTATGTTCTACTTCATTGTGTATTTGTAGGATATTTTACGAAAGCGTGTCGAAAGAATAGATCGGAGGAATTTATGTCACCTAACTAGCGCTCACTCGAGGAAATTTGAGGTTATTTCGTTGAAAAAGGAACTTCGACTTTTCGGTGGAAAAATATGAGATAGATACGTGTTTACATGTTTTAAATTAGTACGTGCGATTACAGTGAAAAGGTTAAGTTATTACGTTACGTTCGTTCCAACCGTTTCTTGACGTAATAACCTTATAATCAATTAATCTTACAGGCGAGGAAGTGTGAATATTCTGGAAGATTAGTTAACTAGTTTACTAGTTAACTAGTTAACTAATACGGAGCTGTAGTACTATAACGCATTAAAAGTTTTATCCGTGGAATCCCATAATTTGTAAAACCAAAAATTCGAGCGAGCTAGACTAATGAACTTGTTAAAAACAAGGAATAGCGAACTATATTATCTTTCATTTCATTTCTCTTCATAAATCGTGGATATTAGAAATGACATCGAACTCTTCAAATTAATACTTCCTAAACTTTATAAATTGCAACCTGACGAATTATGAATCACATAAATTGTGTTAAATTTTATATTTTTGTACTATAAGGTAGGTAATATCTATTTTAATTCAATTGTTTCAGTGATTTTGAACCGTGATTACAGTTTTCAACAGCCAATTATATAATGTTGAGATAGAAAATATTTATTCGGAAAGGATTTGTATTGTATATTTTGCAAAATTTAACATGTTTATATATCAACAATATATATCATTTTGCAAGGCATATTTACACCGTGGTAGGTTATAATCGATACAGTATTCGACGTATCGTTGAATGCTGATCGAAATATTTTAGTGCAAAGACATTACACTTGTACATGCGTGTTTACATGAATATTATCTAGTCTTCGCGCTTTGTTGTGCGTGCATTACAAGGTTACTATTATAAAAAATTAGAAATTACGCAATTTTAAACGCTACTACTTATCGTAATGATTATGTATTTACAAGGTTTATAAATACAGCGCTTTGTAATTACACTTTACACGCATCAACGTACGTTGAACTACGAAATTATAATGTAAAAATGTTTCTCAAATACGAGACTGGCAACTTTACGATATTTTATTTAGAATAAATAAGCGTGAAACTGGTATCAATTACATAAAAAGTTAAATCTTATTTTTAGCTTGCATTTAGTACTTCAATTCAAGGAGATCCAATTCAAACTCAAAATATTTACGTTCGCTGAAATGCCAATGCTACTATTCGAGAACAAATTTTACGTGTTAATAAATAATTAAAAACATAGTATATGATGTATATTTATAGTATCTCCATAGTATAGTATATCCAAGCTGAGTTAAATGGAATCAGTCGAAAGAAATTCACATTCGCTCGGGCATAAATTTAATGTTTCGTAGTTTCATATATGGAGGATTTATATGATATAGCGATTTCATGTTACTTGCAATATGATACAGAATCTGTAATAATTCTTATGAAACTGGAAATTATTTAAAATTTCAAAAAATATTACGAATGCAAGTGCGCTTTATATACAACGTGAGAATCGAAATGAAGTTTATCAAATTACTCTTGACAATAGAATATTCGATATCACAAGTAAATGTGTCATGATATAATTTTGGAAAATTTACGACGATACCAACGTCATCAAAATTAATTATATCCTTCAAAATTATACTTAATTAATGCATTTATTGCAATCAAACGCGAAGCTAATAATCTCGGCGTGCAAACGGAATTCTAATTATGCAGAATGTAGTTAAGGGAATCAACAGGAAAGAGTCGCAGAATATAAATGTACAGATAAATAATTACAACTTACACTGCTATCACTTATGTATCAGTCGCGTAAGTACATAATCGTTAAAGTCAAAGACATTGAAATTGATGCAATTCAATATTGTAATATGTTACATATCCAATATTGATTGACTTGATTAAAGCCCTACCCTATCTGTGTTTGATAGTGTATCACTTTATATTTTAATAAATAATAGATGCATCCTCATATACTGTAATCGAATTCGAGCCTGAAAATCTCGACAAAATTAAATTCTATTATGCGTTGGCTTTACTTTTGTCTATAGAATTAACGTTAGTACAAATCGATACATATCGGTTAAATTATACAAGGTAAAATTCTTGTATACGTAGTTTTACCTTTCGTTAATCCTTTATCTATTTGAATTTAATTATATTTCAATTTGCCCAATATGAATAAAATGTTAAATAAAAAATTGGTTTCAGTTTTGATCCGTAAACGAATTTCGGCGATTAAATATATTAAATATATACATTTTACTCAAATTGATTTAATATTTTTCAACAGTTTTTTCATTCATTCATATGAGATATTTCATCTGTACCGTTTATAATTTAATTCTACGAGTCACATGGATGGTAATCCGTAGAAAATCCGTATTCCGATCGGTATTCGTTCATTGCATAGTAATAATTGAAAATCGATAGCTCTGTAAGGATTATATTGATTTTCGGTGACGTCTTTAATTAAATTCTTCTATTTGAAAGCGAAGGCTAGTTTCGAGCGTTTCTTATTCTTTCGTATATGATTTGAAGTATTTTAATAACGATAAGAAATGCGTAAGAAGTATGTAGTTCCTATTTTTCGATACTTTCATTTAACCGATGCAGTATTTTCAAAGAAATTATAAATGAATCTCTATAATCATAAATGAAATGCAATTAATTTAAACTGTAAGAATAAATACTGCAATTATATCTTTTTTATTTTCGTGTTAATATGAACGATAAGCTCGCAACTTACAGGATGAATAAGTTCTTTTATGTATTAGTTGGATTATCTTTTATTTAGTATTATCAATAAATATACAACCGGGTCGATATATATCCAAAAGTTCATGTTATAATATATGATGAAAGAGGGAACAATAAAATTTAAAACCGGGTTACGAAAAATTAAAATTTATTAAAAATCTAACAATAATATTTTATTTTTATATGTAGCTTTACCTAAATGAATTATACTTTTGAAAAATGAAAGATATTTGGAACAAGATATTTTACAAACGAGGTAGTTATTTTATCATATATTATTATTTTATTATCATATAAATAAAATAAATCTGAAACATAGATATTAACACAATGAATGAATTGTATAGTATAGGATTAAGAAGGAACCTAAGAAGGAAGCTATAATCCTGTCAAGAGGTCATTGTCAAATTTGATTTACGCGCCACTCGATTCTAATCGATATGTTCATTTGAACGATTCCTCTTTCTTCCTGTTCTGGCCGGCATTTTCTTAGTCCGTCCACAGTTTCTTATTGAAAAAGTATTATCGTTTATAGAATCGACTTTATAGAATTATCTGTACAGTTGACTCTTCTATTGTGTGCGAAGAAAAACATAAGAAAAATATGAACATAAGATTTAGAAAATATTTACATCAGTAATCGCTTTAACCACGTGTATATAGCGTAAAGTGACAGCAGAACGATGAATTGTGCGTCAGGAAATATAGAGCCGCTGACTAAGGAAAATTTTCATAAGTGGAGAGCTCAGATTCAAACGTTATTAATGAAAAACAACACATAGGAATATGTTTCTGGTGAAAAGATCCGAACTACAGAGAATGCTACAGAATGGGATGTAGCAGATAGAAAGGCAAGATCAGAAATGTCTGTATATTAGCAATAAGTCCTGAAGCATTAATGCAAGTAAATGATTACAACACATCAAAAGAGGTATGGGATAAACTAAATGAAATATATTGCTTAACTTATCCCGCTTACAAGATAATGCTAGTAAAACAGTTAATTAACTATAAGATGCAAGAAGATGGGAATATAAATAGTCATATAAGAAACTTTTCTGACTTAATTGATAGATTGAGAGAAATACATATATACATCCAAGATGACATAGAATTTTGTTATTATGTAGTATTCCAAACAGCTAAGAAGATTTCAGGATTGCTATTGAAACTGAGGAAAAATTTCCATCCTTTGAAGCACTGAAAATAAAACTACTCAAAGAAGAATCCAAAAGAAGACAGAACTAGGAGTATGAAAACAACATCTATTATAGCGGTAGTCGAATTGGGCATGCAATAGAAGTCTCTACATATTCAGAAACTGCAACAAAATGCACAACACAGACCATCACACCTAGTATTTCGCATCAAGTGCTTTATAAAGAAATTATTAATATCCTTTAGAATGCAGATTATCGTACCATGACTCTTAAAAAAGTAAGGCTAATGATTGAAACAAAATATAACATACATCTTAATGACAGAGAAACAGAGATATATTTTTTAGTCATGCAATATGTAAAGGCAAATTCAGCTGTACAAGAGAGAGAGATAGAGCTCAATGATGGAGTAGTAATTGATAATACAGAAGATGAAACAGAATCAGAATTAGATGATGAAGAGATAGAGGAAGAATGATAAACAGTCAAGAGGAGTCTTGCAAGAAAAGCAACAAGTAAATATGGGAATAGAAGCTTTTATTTCTTTGGATGATCAATTTGTTTGTTATTTTTTCAATAATTGATTGACAACATTTGTTATGTTGATAGGAATGAATAATATCTTGCAATTTCCTTATTAAGCCTCCGAAAAAATTTATTATGTAACGTTACATAATAAATTTATTATTTCTCAAGATGCTTAATGTTTTAACACAAATTGTAGAAATTAAAAATTTAAAAGTCCCATTTTGGTTGGTATAATTTGTATTTATGTAAATTTTGTCAACTACATATATGTTATACAAATATATATACAAATACAAACATGTTTGTTGCAGTATGACATTGTTTTACCATATATATGAACTTTGTTGTCCACGGTATTTGTTGTATTGGATGTTTGCTATATAACATTTTAACTTATGGATGTTATCAAACGTATGTCCAATTGAATGGTGATCCATGAGTAAGAACCAACTAGATTTGGTCAATGTTGTAAACAATATAAATGGCGCTCATTAAAACTGCCCTCAATATAAAATTACATAAAATATTAAGAATATTGTATTGGGATCAAAAGTATGATATTTCAGTTTCTAAACATTAAAATGGGACAATTTGCATATTTAAGTAATCTCTATTGTATGAATATTTCAGCACGTTAGCTTAATTGAAATAAAACATTGAACAAGCATTAATGTAAAACTATGAGCACACCTTATGTTGGTAAATTTTTCACAATAAACATTTCTTTTATACTTAATTTAATTCAATATACATTAACTAAGAAGCAAATTATACTAAAAAATAAAGCTGCATATTTGATAATATTTAAATTTCATTGTAATTTTTAGGATTAAATAAAATACATGAAGAGTATGTGTGTGTGTGTGTGTGTGTGTGTGTGTGTGTGTGTGTGTGTGTGTGTGTGTGTGTGTGTGTGTGTGTGTGTGTGTGTGTGTGTGTGTGTGTGTGTGTGTGTGTGTGTGTGTGTGTGTGTGTGTGTGTGTGTGTGTGTGTGTGTGTGTGTGTGTGTGTGTGTGTGTGTGTGTGTGTGTGTGTGTGTGTGTGTGTGTGTGTGTGTGTGTGTGTGTGTGTGTGTGTGTGTGTGTGTGTGTGTGTGTGTGTGTGTGTGTGTGTGTGTGTGTGTGTGTGTGTGTGTGTGTGTGTGTGTGTGTGTGTGTGTGTGTGTGTGTGTGTGTGTGTGTGTGTGTGTGTGTGTGTGTGTGTGTGTGTGTGTGTGTGTGTGTGTGTGTGTGTGTGTGTGTGTGTGTGTGTGTGTGTGTGTGTGTGTGTGTGTGTGTGTGTGTGTGTGTGTGTGTGTGTGTGTGTGTGTGTGTGTGTGTGTGTGTGTGTGTGTGTGTGTGTGTGTGTGTGTGTGTGTGTGTGTGTGTGTGTGTGTGTGTGTGTGTGTGTGTGTGTGTGTGTGTGTGTGTGTGTGTGTGTGTGTGTGTGTGTGTGTGTGTGTGTGTGTGTGTGTGTGTGTGTGTGTGTGTGTGTGTGTGTGTGTGTGTGTGTGTGTGTGTGTGTGTGTGTGTGTGTGTGTGTGTGTGTGTGTGTGTGTGTGTGTGTGTGTGTGTGTGTGTGTGTGTGTGTGTGTGTGTGTGTGTGTGTGTGTGTGTGTGTGTGTGTGTGTGTGTGTGTGTGTGTGTGTGTGTGTGTGTGTGTGTGTGTGTGTGTGTGTGTGTGTGTGTGTGTGTGTGTGTGTGTGTGTGTGTGTGTGTGTGTGTGTGTGTGTGTGTGTGTGTGTGTGTGTGTGTGTGTGTGTGTGTGTGTGTGTGTGTGTGTGTGTGTGTGTGTGTGTGTGTGTGTGTGTGTGTGTGTGTGTGTGTGTGTGTGTGTGTGTGTGTGTGTGTGTGTGTGTGTGTGTGTGTGTGTGTGTGTGTGTGTGTGTGTGTGTGTGTGTGTGTGTGTGTGTGTGTGTGTGTGTGTGTGTGTGTGTGTGTGTGTGTGTGTGTGTAATATGTTATTTATAATTTCAATCTTCAACGAAGATTATGAATACACACACGCTTAGGCAAACAATCTGAGAATGAAAAAAAAGCTTAAGTTACTTTGGAGAATAGAATGTTAGATATCTCAAAGGTTCATGTATTATCGCTTGCAGACAGTATCTCGGAGAACAATGCTGTTGATAATCGCACTGAATGACGCTATGATTGTTTTAAGGAGGTTTGTACGTTCTTGTATTAATCAGCATTGTTACCTTATATTCGTAACACAAGATTTAATATACGCATCGCAGTATAACGTATGAAAATGTTAAAGGTCTAAAATAAACATATAAGAATTATACATTGAAATGAATGTATAAATTAAAACTCCATCCAAGTATAGGACATGAATATATATATAATGGGAGCTGATTTTTATTCTTGCTTCGAGATTCCTTCTTCTCAAATAAAAGATGAAATCGTCGTGTATCTGATGCATGGTGAGAAATTTCCAGTTCTACTTTATATGGTACTCTAGAACATAGATTTCTGAAGTGTGGGTCGCGTTAAATATTCTACTACTACAGATTCGTTAGGAGAGTTGTATTCATCGATAATCGTCGGACGAACAGTTCAAATTCTATTCAGTTCAAAACCAGAATAACGAGGAAGATGAGAACCATTATTTCTGTCTAGTTTCTCTCAGCTCGTAGATCCGTATCAGGTCAATTTTATATTGCTTATCAATCAACTCTCGACACAATTGCGTTTTGGCTAATCTTCGAGTAGGTCGCGAAAAATCACCGGTCTCGGAACTGGGTTCCGGTCCATAGAAGTTTGCGAAGCTTTGCTCTAGAAGTATGTAAGTCACTTATCGGATTTTGCTTGCATACGACTCATCTTTTGAAACAGTTCTTCGAGTTTTTTAAAGTTCCAGAGAATCCGATTCAAAGCTCTTGTGGCCTGTTTCAATATACGTACGTACATGTATTTTACATTATCTTAAAAATATTGTAAGTTCTGACGTAACTGAAGTAAGTTCTTCAGATTTTAATGCCTATGAAGGTAAATATGGTAGTGGATATTTTTGTGGATATTTCCTCTCTTTTTAAAAGACTACGCATGAATTGTGCAAGTATCCTCCTTTATGATGTTGACGAGACAATATAAATAAGTATTCAAAGTTCATCTATGAATTATGATTATTAAATTCATTTATGCGAGGTTAATCATAGAAAGCGTACGCGTCTTATAATTATCAGAATATCAATTGTTCTCGTATAACATAGTTATACTCGTTGAACTGACTCGTTTAACGATAATGAAACATTCGTTGTTATTTTTGCAACGTGCAATCATCGCACTCGTTTTTCTACTGCTCATGCACAAATTGGCACGACGAGTTGCATATTATGAGAACTGAATACAATTCTGCCACACGCAGTCATCGGTTTCCTCTTCGTCCTCGTCGTCAAGGGTTGCGAGGGTGAATATTCTGCTTGCAAAGAGAAGCTGGCAGGATTATGTTGAATTTACTTAAAAAAAGGAAATCGATGGAATTTTACCAGCTATAATCGATTCAGTATTTTCAATTATTTATCCTATCGTATAAAATGATAGAACAACATCAATTCTATATATCAATAATTTATTTTTCAATGGTAAGTTTTTATTTGCCATGCATAATAACTAACGTTGATATCATAAAATTATACCTTGTCCAGTGGATTGATATTGTGTAACATTGCAGAATCGAATTATATACCTATGTAGAATCACATACATATGCCATATACATACCATGCATTAAACTAAAGTTATTACATATTATAATAATACGTAATTAATGCATACTATAATGCAATATAGTAATGCAATATTATAGTATAAATAAACCAATACGTAATTTTCTTATGAATAAAAGACAGTATAGTTATATCGAACATGTTGGTGTAATCGTAAACAATCAATCGATTAATTCGGTAAACAGTAACGAAGGTACATATTTCGCACACGACAAGAATACATTTCTATTTACGAGACTTAAATAAATAAAAATGTTGATACACAACGTATAATAACTAACGTTAATATCATAAAATTATACCTTGCCTAGTGGATTATATATAGTAGATATAGTATAATAAATAATACATTTATAATAATATTGTGTAACATTGCAGAACCGAATTGTATACCTATGTAGTATCACATACATATGCAATATACATATCATACATTAAACTATAAGTTATTACATATTATAATAATACGTAATTAATGCATACCATAATGGACAGAACTTATTCTATTATAGTATAAATAAACCAATACGTAATCTTCTTATGAATAAAAGACAGTATAGTTATATCGAACATGTTGGTGTAATCGTAAACAATCAATCGATTAATTCGGTAAACAGTAACGAAGGTACATATTTCGCACACGACAAGAATACATTTCTATTTACGAGACTTAAATAAATAAAAATGTTGATACACAACGTATAATAACTAACGTTAATATCATAAAATTATACCTTGCCTAGTGGATTATATATAGTAGATATAGTATAATAAATAATACATTTATAATAATATTGTGTAACATTGCAGAACCGAATTATATATCTATGTAGTATCACATACATATGCAATATACATATCATACATTAAACTATAAGTTATTACATATTATAATAATACGTAATTAATGCATACCATAATGGACAGAACTTATTCTATTATAGTATAAATAAACCAATACGTAATCTTCTTATGAATAAAAGACAGTATAGTTATATCGAACATGTTGGTGTAATCGTAAACAATCAATCGATTAACTCGGTAAACAGTAACGAAGGTACATATTTCGCACACCACAAGAATACATTTCTATTTACAAGACTTAAATAAATAAAAATGTTGATACAAAACGCATAATAACTAACGTTAATATCATAAAATTATACGTTGCCTAGTGGATTATATATAGTAGATATAGTATAATAAATAATACATTTATAATAATATTGTGTAACATTGCAGAACCGAATTATATACCTATGTAGTATCACATACATATGCAATATACATATCATACGTTAAACTAAAGTTATTACATATTATAATAATACGTAATTAATGCATACCATAATGGACAGAACTTATTCTATTATAGTATAAATAAACCAATACGTAATCTTCTTATGAATAAAAGACAGTATAGTTATATCGAACATGTTGGTGTAATCGTAAACAATCAATCGATTAATTCGGTAAACAGTAACGAAGGTACATATTTCGCACACGACAAGAATACATTTCTATTTACGAGACTTAAATAAATAAAAATTTTGACACACAACGCATAAAGTTCTATATGTTTTTAACACGCTGTTCGCGTTTCGCACTTTTTTAGATATAGAGATGGATCTGTACGACTTCGAAATCCAAACATCGAGCTCATGGATCAGGATATACTGTATCATCTTGCTCTGGGTAGCGGCTCCCACGATCTCGTTGAAATGTTTGGCGACGTTAAGGTAAATCAAAGTAGTAGAGCTTCTTTTTCTGTGCAAAGAACTTTTACCTTTAGTTGTACTCCTTTTTTTTTTTTTTTTTTTTTAAAGAACTTTGTTTTATGTATAGTAGAACTCCTTTTCCTGTAGAAAACACTCTTTGACGTATAGTGAGACTTCTTCTAGAAAAGAAGATTTCTAGAAGAGTTTTTCTTCTAGAAAAAAAGTTTTTTTTATATACAGTAGAATTTATTTTATGTGAACTACATTTGTAGAAACAGAATTTTAGTTAGCACTCCGTTAACTGTGTTCTTTCTGTCTTTCTTCCATTAAGTGCTTTACCATGTAATAGTGGATGTCCCTTGCGTAACAATTTTTCTAACGAAAAATAAACGCAACGAGAAATTTTCTAAAACTTGTTACTCCAAGTTTTCATATTCGTGCTCTATTTTGATTTGTACGAAAAAGTTTCTATAATTCCTATAAAAGATGCGAACAAGTAGTTTTTCGCATATTGTCGTGTAACTTAAAGAAATGTTACGTTATTAATTGCCTCGAAGATCGTTGCATATTAATTACGTATTACGCACGCTATTCCTAGAAACGTACTTTAATGTCAGTGCACCTTTAAACTCCTGACGCATATAGTTGAAACAATGCCAGAACATCGGTGCTTTCTAAAACATATTGAACTTATCTATAAATACATTGAGGCTTATTTCTCTCCCAAAGAAGTAGTTTTACAGTGTCACAACGACCTCAAAAACCTTTTTTATTACTTTATTCAAGACATATTTCGATTCTCGTACCGCATACAGCTTCGAATATGTTTGTCAACTCAATTAATCTCACCAATTTCTTTCTCTATACTTGTGCGAACACTTTCTTGGCTAATTGCAATGTTTATGTTTGGGTTCTGCGTGCAGTATAGTAATCTCTATCAGTCGAATTTTCAGAGGTGAAGTATGACTAATTTTTGACAGTGGGTTAACACGGAATACTACCGATAACAATCAACTATGTATGTAGAAGCGCTGCAATGTGTATTTCCAAGCGTAAATTTGCATAACGTTCGAAACTACGATATGTGTGCTGTACACGATATTGTCGATGTATTACTATCTCTATTATCTATTTATAAATTTCTGCTCCATCGATCGTTAATTATCGGACTATCTTATCCACGATGAATTTTGTAATTTTCAGTGAATGTTAACGTTAGATATTAATTATATTGGTTATATTAAGGACGAAGCAAATAGAGTTAACTAAATTTATATCTATCGCAAGATATCGAAAATGATAATGAAAAACTTTGTAATTGTAAAATTTTAGCAAAACATAATTTTCGATGAAATTGGGAAACAAGGTACAACGTGCAAGTGCAGCAAAAGAATTACGATAGCAATAAATATATATAAAGCAATATTTGTAAATCATTGTTATAAATTATTATGAATCACTATTTTACGTATCTTTCCAGAAACGAATTTAAACAGGTTCGTTTAAAATTTATTTGATATAATTTTAATCAATTTCTTCTGCGTGCCATTTCACAAGTTATTTTAACTTTTTGTTTGCTTGGATTTTCAGAAACAATTCAGTTTCATAAATGGCAAATGCTTCTGCGGCAGACACTTGTCATCTTGTCATCTATTGTTTCTCCTACGTATTGTATATCGTTCGAGCTTACGCAGTTGCAGTCAATCTATTGATTTTTATTTCGCATTGCTATTACGATCAAAAAACAATTACATCAAGTAACGGAACACCAGGTTTTTATCATACTTGTCTTATCAGGTGAATTTGTTAGCAGTAATAAAGAGAGCCAAGAGCCGTGGCTCATAATAGATATACTTACCATATGTTTACATTGGCTACAAAATATTTTGGCACACTATCGTATTTATTTTAGTATTTACATACTAACTAATTAGGACTAGGTGCACTAAATTTCACATCATTTAGTGTCACTATTTCCGAGTAAGTCTAAACATTCAAAAATATCAGAATGAAATTCTCTAGAGAAATTCCAATGAAAAACATTTTGTTGGAAAATGGGTATGTGCCAATACTTTTCGTAGTCACTGTATTTTACATAAAAGAAACGAAGAAGGCTAAGTTTGAACATTTGTATGTGAGAAATTTTTACACGTTCACATTTTTAATCGTCTCGTTGCTAGGATTAGAGTTTTAACTTGGAAATCACGAAAACCTTACTCGCATCTCTCTGATTTCAAGTACCTGGTATATTTCCCTAACATTGATAGACATAAACAGTGATCTGTGTAATATTAGAATGATGAAATAAATGGCAATAGTGTACTTTTAGCATGTAGTTGTAACATACTTATGTATGTACACTTCGTATATAGAACAGTTAACAGTCAAACCTGTTTACTATAGCTAAAATCACAGAATCCTACATTAATCCACAGACAAATCAATTTTAGATTAGTTTTAGTTCTAGCGAATATAAATTAAATATGACACTCGTACAGAGCTGATCGTGGCATCCACTGTTTAGATAATCAGACAATAATTTTTCGTAGAAGAAAAGATTATCTGTTCTTTTGAGCTGCATTATAAATATTGATATTAATAAATATCGATTCACGCGTCAATGTGACGCATTTCGAATTTCACGAGGGAAATTACACGAACCGTTTACATTTTTCTTCTAACATTTGTACTGACTTTCATCCATTTAACGAGACAAATGTATATCGAAATTCATTTTCTTCAAAGTTTTCTAATTTTAAAGTTTTCTATGTGGTGTACGCGTTAATTAAAACCGAAATGTCCGTAAACCTAGCGTTAACGAGGAGAGTAATTTTTAAGTAAGAAAGTAAGGATTTCTTCGATTTCTATTCTTCTTTTTTCCAGATTTCCTTGCAAGGGGCACAAATTTTCTATCGATCGTTTCGTTAATCGATTTTCTTGATAATCCAGATTCCGTGGTAGTTAATTTTCAACGCAAATGAAGATTTTTTAACTATTATTAAAATTAAAAGCAAATTAACTCGTCCTACAGATCTCGATTTCTTAGACGTAAGAATTTCTTCATTTGCGGATATTTTCTATCGAAAACACAAGTCATATGATGTTAACGGTTAGAAGAATGAAAGTGAATGACGAAATTGATTTATCTCTTCTAATCTGTTATTTCACAATCCAAATATTTCTGGTTAAGAGGTGACTCGTGATGTGTTAACAGGTCACTAAATAACTCGTTATTTGTGAGAGAACCCAAAGAGATTTGTTCATCGCCGGTTAACGTTTAAATAAACGTCGAATTTCTTTTCGAGCTTTGCTCTCGTAGCTTCCAAATGAATCGCGTTTGAGCTATGGACGCAATATTTACGTCGTGTATATTATTACGCCATTTAACGTTTCGCAGCTCGTACAAGCCACGAGCACGCATTCTTTTTATCGCGATCTCTTTTACGCTATCAGTGAAGCCGCGTTTACACAACGTATTCACGTTCATTGAAGGATATGCCATTAGGAGAAAGTACAATGTTTCGTGACCTAAATAGAACAATAGGCGAAACTTGCATGCGCGTGCTTCGGCTACACAGACAGCGGCGGTAATCCTCGAGGTATTATTTCGTACGTTGCTCGGCAACTGTTGTACACTGTCGAATTCTATGTTCCATTTAGAGAAAAGAGCAATTCCACTGTTGCAAATTACAAACAGCATCGGAGGAACGTGCCCCGTTGGTTTTGTTTGAGTAATTCGACGTTGGAAATCATTTTTTAACTCCTCGATGCTCCATTCTGTTTTATATATTTGGTTATATTCGTTATAATTATATTTGTATATGTCGGGTTTACATTAGAATTAGGGTTAGGGGCGTGAAACGAATCTTCGTTTGGGTTACACGTTGTCGTTATGCAATAGAGAAGACATTGACTAATGCAAATACGATTATTATAGAACCGGACAAGTAACCGTGGTAGTTAGGTACTCGAGAAACTAATGACAATGATCCTAGGTTCAATAACGAATCCGCGGTCGACGGGATGATAGATGAACGTACTCACAAAATCTAAGTCGGACGCGTAATATTCGCTGGTCGTGAAGGGTTACTCCTTTCATCGATGAGATCGCGAGCGAGAATGCCTTTCCCATCCCGATGATGCCACAGAGGAAAACTATAATGGGGTGTGTCTAAGGACACGAGATCATCGGATTCGTCGAGAAAAGCCTTCGTTCAGAAAGTAAGGGAAATTGGCGTTGCTGCTAGTTGGTCAATCTCCATATCGGTGGTTAGAAAAAGATGCTAGCCGCCCTCGAGGGAAAGTTGCTATTTATGTGTTGAAATTACAATCAATTCTCGCGTTGAGAATTTTCAGTAATTTT